GGAATATTTTTATTTGTGTGTATTTATTTGTGTGTCCCAAGGCATCTCTCGTTTAGCTGAAAGATGGTGGGTGGATCCTTGACAAAACGGGGCCTGGCGTGACTGGCAGGCCCATGGGACGCTCGTCATTCAAGACAGGCCGCTCCCGCACGGGAAACGGTTCTTTGCATGGACTTCCGCGGAGGAGATTTGGGACTGGATGGCGTAATTCGGCATCGTTGCTGCATCTTGGGCTTACTGTTGGCCCCTCCTCCTCCCCACCTCCACGGCCTTCCTCTTCCTCCTCCTGCCTCTCCTTCTCTTGCACCTGTTCCTCCTCCTCCTCCTCCTCCCTCCCCTTTCTCTTCTCCTCGCCCTCCCTGCCTCTCCGACCTCCTGCTGCTCCTCCTCTTCCTCCTCTCCCCTCGTCGTCGTCGTCGTCGCCCTTCTCCTCCTCCTCCTCCTCCTCCTCCTCTTTCTTCTGAGGGCGGCGACCCTCATCGGCGGCCAGGCCTCAGGGCCAGTGGATTCTGTTGCGAGGGGTTCTCGTGGCCTGGGGCAGGAGACCTGCCCGTGCTACAAGAACCTCATGGCGTGGGACATGGTGAAACTGTGCCCTGGCGAGGGTACGGAGAGGCAGGGAGAAGTAGTACTAGTAGTAGTAGTAGTAGTAGTAGTAGTAGTAGTAGTAGTAGTAGTAGTAGTAGTCGTCGTAGTCGTAGTCGTAGTCGTAGTCGTAGTCGTAGTCGTAGTCGTAGTCGTAGTCGTAGTAGTAGTAGCCTAGGCTCTTTCTCCTTCTTTCGGATGATGCCATTGGGGTTTTGTGTGATATTGTTGGGGCTTTCGAAAGACGATTGGAGTGGCCATCTGCGTGGATACGCATCGTGTTTGTACTTCAGCGTCTAGGTGGTGTCAGACCTCTTGGGCCTCTTCACGTCTTGTGCCGTATCCAGTCTAGGCTTCGGAGGCCCTTGGTGCAGAACTGGCAAACATTCAGTTTTCAGAGCTTCTGGTGGGCGGTCAAAGGGAGATCGTCAGAGAAGTACGCGTAGACATCGAGTGCGTGGCCTGAGTACTCCACTGTCAGGGGGATGTCTACCGCGACCATTTTGCTCGATCTGAAGAAGGCGTTTGAGTTTGTACGTCATCGCTTGATTCAGGCCGCCATCGAGAGTAGCTTCCCATTATGGGTGGTCCGTCTCTTGACTTTCATGTATCGTATGCCAAGGCTTTGGACGTGCAGGGCATTGCCAGCGATGTGATACACGTGAAGCAGACCATTGCACCTGGCTGTCATTTGGCGACGGCGATGCTGCAGCTTCTGATGTTGGGACCTCTGCGTCAAGTGCAGTCCAGTGTCAATGTGAGCGTCTTCGGCTTGCAACGCAATGGGGCGTATGAGCGTGTTCAGAAGGATTTCGCTGGTGCTCCCAACATGCTTGTTAGTCTGTTTGTTTTTTGCGGTGGATATGAGACTTGCTGTGGATAGGGGCAGGGTTGTCTCAACTTGTATCTCCTTGCGACGTGGCCTCGCGCGTTTTCTTCGCAGGATTGGCATGCTGGGTGTCGCCGCAGAGCGTAATCTTGGTGTTGACTATTCTGTTGGGCGTGTGCAAGGCAAACCAGTTGTTAAGGCGCGGCTGAGCACTGTCACGGCGAGACGCAGGAAGCAGCTGGCTACCTCGCAGGAAGCAGCTGGCTAGCATGACGCGCGCCGCCCTTGAAGGCGCTGTCAGCTATGGCACTGCAGTTTTGGGCCTGAACAGCGGTGAGCTCAACCGATTGCGATCACTGGCTGGCAAGTTACATGACCATCATCCTGACTGCCGATCCAGAACACTGGCTTTGATGATTGCACCGGACACTGAATTGGATTCGATCTTTCGTGCTACGCGGCTGTCAACCAAGTTTCTTCTGCAGTACTGGTGGGAAGAATGGTTGCCGAGGAGGTCTACCACGGTCGCGGTCAATGCCGTTGCTACCCCTGTTGCAACGCTGTCTACGCCGTGGCGGTCTATTCGTGGGCCTTTCCTTGCTACCGTCGCTGCCTTGCACCGAGTTGGAGTGGTTGTTGAATCGATGACAGTATAGATTCTGCCTTGCGGTTCCACCTGGAGACCCGCCGAGGTGTACATCGCTGTCATTCGCGTCTTAATTTAGCCCATCGTTAATTTCCTTCGGTCCGAGGCCCTTTTCCCAACATCGTGCGCATGTGAGGTCTTGTTTCATCGGGGGCCAATGGCCGGTGTATCGCCAGTGGGCTGCTGGCTACGATGTGCAACCCTTTTGCAGTGTCTGCCTGCAGGTGCGTGAGTCTGAAGTAAGTGGCACGCTCTTGCAGCGGCATACCATTTGTGAGCGTGCTGATTTTACTGACTGGGAAAGGACCGCCTTCTTTTCTCCCTGGCCTTGTCGAGGCCGCTGTGAGTTCTCCGTTTGCGTATGTGTTGGCCGAGAGGTGCATTGTTCCCATGCCTGAGCTCCGTAGGCCTGATGATGAGAACGTTCCTTGGGAGCTTTGGTACATCGGCTTCCTTGAAGACCTCGCGGAGGATTTGTTTATGGATGGGTCGCTCTTTGGAGGCGACTGGCCAGAGTATGCGGCTGCAGGATGGGCGGTGTGTGCTTTGTCGTCGTCGTCGCTTGGTCGTCGCGCGCTTCGACAGCCGCGAGCCATTGCCTGCGGCCCTCTCTTGACCATTCTTCCGTCCACTAATGAAGCCGAGCTGGCTGCGTTTTGCTTTGCCCTCAGGCATGAAATGCCAGGCGGTGCGATCCATGCTGACAGTGACTACGCGTGGAGAGGAGTCTGTGTGCGAGGCCAGCAGGAATGTTGCCATTGCCTCTCCTCCCGTGCTGTCTTGTGGCGTGATGTTTGGAGGCTGGTTCACGATAGATGTGGTGATGACTTCATTCGGCTCGTTATGAAGACCAAGTCTCACCCTTATGTGGAAGATTTCCGTCTCGGACGCACCACTCCGAGGCCCAATGCAGGTAATTGTCTTGTCGGCATTTTTCGCTCGCTGGGCTGGGCAGGCGGCCCGTCTGCCCGAGGTTCAGCGTGACCTCATCCAGCGTCGGTTTCAGATCTTGAAGCAGTGGGCCAGGTTGTACGCCAGTGTTGGGGAGGGCGACGACACGTTCCACCCGTCGCAGGTTCAGAGAGGCCGCCCTCCCCAACCCACCCTCCATCTTGTGCAGGACAGGCCAGTTTCCTTGTTTGAGCGTGCTGCTGCTGCCTCTCGAAAATTTCTCAGTGAGGGTCTTGCTCCGCATGCGCTTGTGCAGTTCTCGCTCACTCACGATGTCGTGCTCGTGTGTTATGTTTCCTGTCAAGGCATCTGTTCTGGTCGCATAGGCACTCTTGGTCACCCTTGTAAGCCCAAGAGAACCGCCTTGGCCACCACGATTTGGGATCGTCTGGAACGAAGTGGGTATAGGCATGTTTCTTCTCGCCGCCTGTTGCATGTCCGTGATAAGAGCACGGTTATGCTTTGAACGGGTTTTCCATTTGCTTGCTCATCGGAAGCTCTCTGGCGCGCGAGGTCTTGCCCATGAGGAAGAGGACCAGGAGGACTAGGATGTGCATGGGGATGAACATGATGTTAATGATGATGCGGATGCTGATGCTGATGATGCTGATGAGGATGCTGATGGGGATTATGTTGAGGATGCTGATGATGAAGAAGAGGCGGATCATACTGGGAATGATGGGATCGGATGGGTGGATGATGATGATAATAATGATAATGATGCTGTTGCTGATGATGATGATGATTATGATGGTGATGATGACGGTGATAATGATGATGATGACGATGGTGATGATGATGGTGATGATGATGATGAGGATGAGGGTGAAGATGATGATGATGATGGGGATGATGATTTTGATGACGATGATGATGGTGATTATGATGATGATGATGATGATGGTGATGGTGATGATGATGATGATGATGGTGATGATGATGCTGATGATGATGATGATGATGATGATGATGATGATGGTGATGATGATGATGATGATGATGATGATGATGATGATGATGATGATGATGATGATGATGATGATGATGATGGTGATGATGATGATGATGATGATGATGATGATGAGGAGGAGGAGGAGGAATAACAGGATGATGAAAAGGAGGAGGAGGGGAGCAGGAAGAGGAGGTGGTGGTGGTGGAGGAGGAGGAGGACGACGAGGAGTAGGAGGAGGAGGAGGAGGAGGAGGAGGAGGAGGAGGAGGAGGAGGAGGAGGACGAGGTGATGAGGAGGAGGAGGAGGAGGAGGAGGAGGAGGAGGAGGAGGAGGAGGAGAGAGGAGGAGGAGGAGGAGGAAGAGGCACTGAAGGAGGAAGAGGGGGAGGAACTGGGAGAGGAGCTAGGGGAGGAGGAGGGGAAGGAGGAGGAAGAGGAGGAGGAGGAGGAGGAGGAGGAGGAGGAGGAGGAGGAGGAGGAGGAGGAGGAGGAGGGGAGAACGAGGAAAAGGAGGAGGAGGAGGAAGAGGAAGAGAAGGAGGTGGAGGTGGAGGTGGAAGTTGAGTAGGGAGGGAGTGAGGGTTGGGAAAAGTGGGATGTGAGAAGGCTGGGAGGGAGGGGGGAAGGGAGGAGTCGACAGGAAGGGGTGCGGAAAGGAGCACCGCCGGCGTGGCACTGTCCCTCGCCACGCGCGAGGTACGAGAGCCTCGTCAAGGCGTATGAGAACCAGCTCCTGGAGCCATGCCCGCTCCCGTTGGTCTCCGGTAGGAGCCAGTGCCGCGCCCGTTCCAGTCCCCGTGGTGAGACAACATCCCTCCCGCTCTCGTCGCCCCCCCCTGTCAGCTTTTCCCTGCGGCCTCGTGCCCTCTTTCGCACGGGGGCGGTGCGAGCAGTCGAGCAGTCAAGACGTGCCCGGAATCTCGAGGCTGCTCGCAAGACGCACCGCGTCTGTGTTCCGATTGCGGTGTAGGCTTCTGGAAGCGAGCAGTTCCCTCAGAGAAGGCTTGCGGTGGCCCGGAGGTGGGGTCTGCCTTTCCTGCAATCCTCCTTCCTCCAACTTCCTTGCTCCCTCCCCATCCCATCCTTTCTCCTATGCCTCCCACGTGGGGTCCCAGTAGTAGATGGGGCCGGAGGATGGCGCCCGATGCGTTGGCGATACGGCTCGATGTGGATCATTTTCTCCATGCCGATGGTGCCGATGCATCGCCGACGTCGCCAAAGCATCGCCGATGCATCGGCTACGCATCGGCGGTCATCGGCGATCATCGGCGATGCGGCGCGGTCCTCCGACCCATCTTCTCCGACCCCATTCGTGCGGGTCTCCACTGGAGAAGGCCTGGCTGCGCTCCTCCTCCCTCCCACCACCCTCCGCAGGGTGGATGGTTAGGGCCGCGGCGTTTTGTGTGGCCGCCGGGCAGGGCGTGGCACACATAGATGCTGTGAGCTCCAAACTCGTGGCCCTCCACAGGGGGGGGGGGGGGCCGGACGGGGCCAGGGCGAGGAGAAATCCGTTCCAGAGCGCGCTGGAACGCTCTCAGAGAGCAGGCCAGAACGCTCTGAGAAGGCCGCGGCGCCCGAGGCATCCTCCAGAGCTGCCGGATCTCAGATATTCTCGATGCGTGTGCCATCACCCGATGTTAGCCTCGTCCTGGCTTCGTCTCAGGGGGGTGGGCCCAGGCGGCGCTGCGGAGCACGACGTCCACAGAAACACATCCATACACCACCACCGTGCCTGGCCTGAGCAGGAGGAGGAGGAGCAGGAGGAGGAGGAGAAGGAGCAGGAGGAGGAGGAGGAGAAGGAGGAGGAGCAGGAGGAGGAGGAGGAAGAGGAGGAGGAGGAGGAGGAGGAGGAGGAGGAGCAGGAGGAGTAGGATAATGCCTCACACAGCCCTTTCCCCCTAGGATGGTGTGCAGGCCCTCCCTGGCCGAGGCCAGGAGGGCGTCTATGTATATCTCTCTCTTTATATATATAAATATCAGATACTTATACAATTCTATATATATATGCACATATGTGTATATATACATATGTACAGCTATATATATATATATATATATATACTATGCCAGAGCCCAGAGTGGCCCTGGCCTGGCACGGCGGTGGTGTGCAGATGCCTTCTGCGTGTACGACTCAGTCGGGCATGCCTCTCTACAGGAAGACAATTCACAGATAGCCAGAAGATAGTCTCGGTTCGATTTTCCGACAATTTTTGAATATTTTTGGATTATGTGTCAAATTCTTCCAACATCCGCTTGCAGGAAGACATGCCCGACCTAAGTGTATGTCTGAGGAAGGGAAACTACACACAGGCACAACTCAGCGTCGACTTCCAGGCCATCAGGGGAAACGATGGGAAGCTGGAGGGGGAAGACGAGCATCAAGAGAATCTGAGAGATGATGGCACGGCGCCGGTGGTGTGCAGGAGCGGAAAAGCACACACAGACATAACTAAACGTCGACTTCCAGGACCATGCGGGACAACAGAAACATGGAGAGTGGGAGGGGGAGACGAGCATCACGAGAGTATGAGAAAAGGTTGGACATCCTGGGATCTGTGTGTGTGTACTTCTTGGTGTGCCCCTGGGCCCATTCAGCGACGCTTCCTCCTGCCGAGCCGATCCGATCCACCCGTCGCCCCCATCTTCACTCGCAAGGCCCCGCGGGGCACCCTGTGACGCCGGCCAGGGGCGCGTGCCGCAGCCGACCACCTCGTCGCCAGGCAGCTGGCGAGATTCTCGGGAGCCGTCGGAAACGTTCTCCCTCCAATTCGGCGGCGAGCCCAGGGGGGGAGTGCAGATCAGAGGAGGACAAGGTGCCCATGCCCCTGCCCTTTCCTCGTCTTTCCCTTTTTGGGCCTCCTGGGACACCCTCGTCGCCACGGCTAGATTCGCATCGAAATTCTTGTCAGTTTCGCCTCGAAATTCTTGTAAGAATGCACTGTGGGAGAGGTCTGGGGAGTAGCAGTATTGGTACCTTTCTTGTTTCCTCAGCACAGGGGGCGTCCCTTCTTAGAAGGCTCGGAAGGCTTCCTGCCGTCTGAGAAGTTTCCCAAGCTTTCTCTGGAAACACAGGGCTTCTCCGAAGGCCAGTGGGCTTCTAAGAAGCCCCGCCGCCTTCTGAGAAGGCCTGCCCCCTTTCACTGCCCCACTGGGTGCGCCGCCGACCAATCCTTCTCCTCCCTTCCTCCCTCTGCCGACAGCACGCCTGGGCTGGAAGTGCCTGAGGCGGTCTCTGCACAGGAGGGGGCGGTTCCTGAAGGGCCAGCATCCGGAGTGCGGCGAGGGAGCGACGATAACCGCGGGCTGGCCTTTACCCCGTATAAAGCACTCAAGACTTCTGTGTGCCCTTCTCTGCATCGGCCCGCGCGTGGCGCCGTTCTCCTGCTTCGGCCCGATGAGCCCACAACTTGCAGGGGAAGGCGCTTGTGGCAGTTCTCGGCCTCGGCGGGGGGGGGCCCTTGCCAGGTCCAGGGGAGCGTCAAACAGTTTCTCGGAGGAGGAGGAGGAGGAGAAAGAGGAGGAGGAGGAGGAGGAGGAGGAGGAGAAAGAGGAGGAGGAAGAGGAAGAGGAGGCGGGGGAGGAGGAGGAGAAGCGAGGGGGAGGAGGAGGAGGAGGAGGAGGAGGAGAGGGAGGAGGAGGAGGAGGAGGAGGAGGAGGAGGAGGAGGAGGAGGAGGAGGAGGAGGAGGAGGAGGAGGAGGAGGAGGAGGGCCCCTGGCCCAGGAGGGGGTCCCGACCTCTGGGGAGTCGCGCTGCGCACTGCACCGCGACGTCGGTTGTTTTGTGGGACAGGCACTCCAGGTTCGGAGGGGGGACGGAGCTCCCGGGGTCTCTTGGATGCTCGTTTTTGGGACCTCGGGCCCTCCCAGTGTGGATACATGTTCGACTTCTGCTCGAGTGCAGCTCGACATTCTAGCTCGATGGGAGGTCGATTCAAGCTCGGTCCATTAGATCTGAAAAAGGTGCTGCTCAGAGTCTTGGGCGCCCCCAGACTCTGGGGGTTTGGGGTTGCTCCGACTTTGTCTCTCGCTGTCCGACTGTGTCTCCTCGCTCCTACCCCCTGCCTCCTTCTCCCGGTCTTCCTCCCTATTTCTCTTCCTACTCCCTCTTCGCCTGCTTTTCCAGGTCCTTTTCTTCCTCTTCCTCCTGTTCCTCCTCCTCCTCCTCCTCAACCTCCTCCTCCTCCTCCTCCTCCTCCTGCTCCTCCCCCTCCCCCTCCTCTTCCTCCTCCTCTTCCTCCTCCTCCTCCTCCTCCTCCTCCTCCCCCTCCTCCTCCCCAAGAGGCCTCTAAGACGCCCAAGATGGCCTCCAAGACGGCCCTGAAGCGCCTCAAGAGGACCCCACATCGGTTCAAACAGGCCCCCAAGATGGCTTCCGACGGCGTCAGACCCGTCAGACGGGCCAGGAACGCTTCAAGACGGCCAAGGAGAGGCCCCCAAGACGCCCCCACGGCCCCAAAGAGGCCTAAGGAGGCCCCCGTGAGGCTTCCAAGAGGCCCCCGGGAAGCCTCCAGGAGGCCCCACAAGAGTGCCCAAAGAGGCTCCCAAGAGGCCTCCTCCTCCTCCTCCTCCTCCTCTTCCTCCTCCCTCTCCTGATCCTCCCCCTCAGCCTCCCCCAAGTGTTCCCCGAAGAGTTTCCGGAGCGGCTGGGGGAATACATAATCAGATAGCTTGGCCAAGCTGGGGCCCAACGTTTGGCCACATAGGCGCTTCTCAAAAAGGCTGGGGGCGGCGGTGATTCGCCGTAGGCGTCTTGGATCCGCCGCCCCCTGTGCTTGCCACAGGGGTGGACGGCGTGCCAGACATTTTGCTGAGATTCTGATTTTCAAACCCTTCCCAGTGGCCTTCGGCCCAGACCGCCTGCCCTCGGAAGGACCAGAAGGTGTGGCCACATCGCCACTAAGACGGCCCAAATGGCCCAAGATGGCCACCAAGATGCCTCCAAGGCGGCTAGGATCGCTCCAAGAGAGCCCAAGACGGCCCCAATATGTTTCCAAGACGGCCCAAGATGCAACCGAGGCGTTCCAAGATGGCCCCAAGATGGCCCAGGACGGCCCCAAAGGCCCCCAAGAGGCTTTTAATGCAGTCCAAGAAGCCTCCAAGGGGACCTGCAGGAAGGCCCGAAGAGGCCAAGACAGCTGATTTCCCGTGGGCTCTTGATGGATTTTAACGTTTTCGGCCTGCCGACGGCCCAGTGCCGCCGAAGAGACCCCCAAGATGGCCCCAAGAGCGCCCAAGAGGCCTCCAAGACGGCCCCACGACGGCCTCCAGACGGTCCAAAAGGCCCCCAAGGCGCCTCCAAGACGGCCCACGAGAACTCCAAGGCGCCCACTCGTCATCGTGGTTGTCGCCGTCATCGTCGTCGTCGTCATCGTCGTCGTCGTCGTCGTCGTCGTGGTCGTCAAACCTCTTCCAGTTTCCTAATCAAACCCCTCTCCCTCTCCCTCTCCCTTCCCCCTCCACCAACCCCCCACCCCCCCTCCACCCCCCCCTCCACCACCCACCTCAGCCCCCCCTCCACCTCCCCCTCCACTCCCCGTCCAACTCCCCCTCCACCCCTTCGGATGTCCCTTGGAACCTTTTTGGGAGCACCCAGGGGGCTCCAGAGGGCCCCAAGTGGGCTCCAAGACGCGCCCCAGAGACCACTGAGAGGTCTCATCCAGACGCGCTGATCGATGACACCTACTAGCGGTTTCTGAGGCCTCTCTTGGGCCCCTCTTGGGCCCGTTTGGGGGCCCT